GATTCTTGAAGTAATTTTTGATAATATGAACAACAGTCCTACACGATTAATCGGAATGACCCCATCCCATGCTATGATGTTGGAAAAAGTGATATCTAAACCTTCCATAAAATCCAAGAGACCGATCGGAGAAGATGAGATAACACTACCAAAGGGTGACCTGCTTTGCAATAAGTATATTATTTCGAAGGAACGTGAGAGTATGCGTGAGGCTGATTTCTTAGAATATAAGCAAAAATGAACTAAAAGAGTGTTCTTTAGCCTTTATTGCATATGGGTAACTTTAGATGCGGAAGTATGCTTCTTCGGCAAAAAATAAAATGTTTGAATCAACAGTAAGGTGAAAAATCACGTGTGTGTCCAATTTGGAACAGAGATTCTGCATGCTGATCACTTTTGCATAAAAAAAATTCAATGGATCTAAGAAATCCTTTTTTGCGTAATCTGGAGTTTGAAACAGTTTTATCTGGAGGAGGTAATTCAATATTTTTTAAACGTTCGATTATTTCATTCAGAGGTTTATTATTGCCAATTCGGAAATATCTCTAGCCGAAAAAAAATAATCTGTTTCCATTATATCTACTATCACGATGAGTAATTAAGAAAATTTTTGCCGATATCAGTAAGTCCTGATATAATAGCTTTATAGGTCTTTTTGATTACAAGTTGGATTGCATCACATTTCTGCTAACATCGAATCTATTTCTGCGATTTGGGCATCAAAAGGATTATAATTCTTAGGCTGAGATTTAGGTTCGGGTTCAGTATTAGTATCAGGATTGGTATCAGAATCAGAAGAAGTGTCACCCTCAGCATAATAAGTTCCAGAATCAAAATGGTCGATCTTATGTCTCATTGCAATTCTACAAAGTAAACTAAGATGTTGGGCCGTTGGATTTCGACTACCATGAACTCTAGAAGCATGTTTACTCCCTATTTTTCTCAATCTTTTGGCGGTAATACCATATGCATTTAAAAATTTGCTAAATGCTCTAATATTGCGTTTTCCATTATCACTATATACAGGATCATGTAACTTTCTGGTTGCTATGGCATCTTGAATCCAAGTAAGCAATTCTCTTGCACGTTCTGGATTCTTTTCCATGGAAAGGAATTGTCGAGGCTCAGGATCAACCTTCTTTTCTCCCTTATTCTTAACATATCCTGTACAATACCAATAATAACCGGGTTTGTACCATTCCGGAGGGTCTGATGAGTTGGGAACTTGAAGCTTGGCTTCTTCATTGGGTTCATAATGGATAATACGAAGAGTAGTAACTTCAGCGGGTCTCATGCTCAACATCATAATCACATCCGCAAGATCCTGCATAGTGGGAATTTTAGTAGTATCAATATT